GGGGGGGGGGGGGGGGGGGGGCGAGTGCTGGCCCACACATAGACCCACCCGTAGTATGATACCTAAAGTATAAATCTATTTACACTCATATGACTAATATGAAAGTTGTAATGTTGTTTTCTTCTACTAATAAAGTTGCACTGTTGCAGTCATGAGTATGAGTACAATAACGTGAAGAGCATGTTTGGTATGTGAATTTGTGTAGGATTTAGAGGATGTATTTTATGAAAATAGTCAAGTATGTCTTTTAAATCAATTTATGATTTGAAATTTGAGTCCCGAAATTTGTAGGATAAATAAACTTCGGCCCGCGATGATTAATAGTTTAAACCCAAGTATGCGAGTTTTATGAAACCCATGGAGAGACGGGTTTCAAAAGTGAGAAATTGAATTTGCANTGATTTGAAATTTGAGTCCCGAAATTTGTAGGATAAATAAACTTCGGCCCGCGATGGTTAATAGTTTAAACCCAAGTATGCGAGTTTGATGAAACCCATGGAGAGACGGGTTTCAAAAGTGAGAAATTGAATTTGTANTTATTTGAGACAATCGGATAAACTTATTAAAATTAACCATGTAGGTTTATATTATTATTAGGGATAACTCGTGCCTGAAAACACGGTGCAATATGAATAGTTTTGAAAAAAATATTGATAGCTATTGGATGAGTCTATTTGAGACCGTCGGATAAGTTTATTGAAGTCTGTCATGCTTTATATTATAGATAGATATAAAATAGTATAGACTTTAATAAATCTATCTGACGATCTCAAATAGATCATTCAACGGTTACTAGCATCCTTCTCAAAATTATTCACGTTAAACTTTACCTTCCCCCCCCCTCTCTCTCTTTGGTATCTTCATTTCTGTGTCTTTAGGCACGGACTACTCTTAATATGTTAATAAAATAGTATAAATCATAAATCTAAACTCCATTAAAATTTAAACCGTTTACAAAAAAATCGTATAAAAAGCCTTAATGTCAAAAAATAAAGTGCAAATAAAAAATGTCATTATCAAACAATACTACTATTTATCAAATGGTCATGTTGAAATCAACCGTCAATTAGACTCGATTCACACGTAAGATATATAAAATAAAAATAAGATGATACATCATATCTCATAAATAAAAGCTCGTTAAATCGAAAAGTATCAAAAGTTGGTACATATGCCTTATATGTAGAAAAAAAAAATTAATTACAACTCTTACAAAAATGAAAGATTTATTACATCTATTTTATAATTGACCCTGACATCTTTTTATATTTTTGTATTAAAATTGTAAAATTATCCAATAAACACTTAAGAAGAGGGTAATTATACGACTAAAATTCAGTTGAAATAAGTTAATCACAATGTTCAACAAAAATAGACCAGTTGTAGGTCAATTAAAAACAATTTTACTTTCAAATCACAAATTTACAACTAAAAGAACTCGTAAATATATAAATTAAGATCAATTTAAAGGTGGACAAAATAAATAATATCAAAATAAATAATTAAATAATATATAAAAAATTAAAAAAATATATTTGGGGGGGGGGGGGGGGGGGGGCGAGTGCTGGCCCACACATAGACCCACCCGTAGTATGATACCTAAAGTATAAATCTATTTACACTCATATGACTAATATGAAAGTTGTAATGTTGTTTTCTTCTACTAATAAAGTTGCACTGTTGCAGTCATGAGTATGAGTACAATAACGTGAAGAGCATGTTTGGTATGTGAATTTGTGTAGGATTTAGAGGATGTATTTTATGAAAATAGTCAAGTATGTCTTTTAAATCAATTTATGATTTGAAATTTGAGTCCCGAAATTTGTAGGATAAATAAACTTCGGCCCGCGATGATTAATAGTTTAAACCCAAGTATGCGAGTTTTATGAAACCCATGGAGAGACGGGTTTCAAAAGTGAGAAATTGAATTTGCAGATAAAAAGACTATTTTATTCAAAAAATTATTTTTTTATTCACCTAATAATAGATATATTAGTCAATTGTCTAACATGATCTAACATAAATACATGTGGAGTCCATGTATTTATGTTATTTACCAAACATAAGATTTGATAAGAATTTATTGTTTGAATCGCATGTANCTAATAATAGATATATTAGTCAATTGTCTAACATGATCTAACATAAATACATGTGGGGTCCAGGTATTTATGTTATTTACCAAACATATCATTGCCTATTAANAAGACTATTTTATTCAAAAAATTATTTTTTTATTCACCTAATAATAGATATATTAGTCAATTGTCTAACATGATCTAACATAAATACATGTGGAGTCCATGTATTTATGTTATTTACCAAACATAAGATTTGATAAGAATTTATTGTTTGAATCGCATGTATTCAGA